CACACACACCTGGGCATATAAAGGCAGACAGGGCTCGCTGGCTCAACTCTCCCTCCTCTCACCTCCCCAGCACCTTCACTACACCATGCCCTTAAACTAGATGCAACTTACTGAGCAACCACAACGACTAGGCATGGACCTGGGGATTTTGCATGCATTACTTCATTTAAATCTCATCACATCCCTATAGGAGGTATTATTAGACCCACGTTTACAGATGAAGAGCCTGAGACTCAGAGCAGTTAAATAGTGGCATGCACAGCAATGAGTAGCAGAGGTGGTATTCCAACCTAGGCATAACTGATTCTAAGCTTTTTTTTTTTTTCTTTTTTTGAGATGAGTCTCTCCCTGTCGCCCAGGCTGGAATGCAATGGTGTGATCTCAGCTAACTGCAACCTCCCCCTCCCAGGTTCAAGTGATTCTCCTGCCTCAGCTTCTAGAGCAGCTGGGACTACAGGCCCGTGCCACCATGCCCAGGTTAATTTTTTGTATCTTTAGTAGAAATGGGGTTTGACCATATTGGCCAGGCTGGTCTCAAACTCCTGACCTTGTGATCCACCCACCTCGGCCTCCCAAAGTGCTGGGATTACAGGCATGAGCCACTGCTCCCAGCCTAAGCTCTTTATTTTTCCATAGATCCATGTTCTCATTTGTGACCATCATGACCTATTTTCCAAGCCAAAAACTAAAAGATTTGCATGTGTGTGCATGCATGTTGATTTGGGAATATGTGGATGCACAGAAATTAATTCACATTTAATTATGCACTTAACACATCATCTAAAATAAAAAGAATCTTGTGAAATAAGGGCTGTCTCAGAAAACTCAGGTCAAATATTCAAGGTAGCATTAGGACAATAATCCCCCACTATGATTACCTTATACAAGGATATCATAAAACATAAAAACAGGTCATGTTACTTTATTATGTATTATAATGCGTTTCAAGAAATCAGCTAGTATGTGTTCGCCTTTGTTTGCAGGTGGTAGCCACCCTGTAGGATTGTTTATATACGTGGTTCACTCTCATCTAGACTACAGGTGTCTTCCTTATCTGCATGAATCCTCACAGTTGCTGGCATGTAAAAAGTGCCCAACCCTGCTTATTAAATCAATGCTTATCTCTGTCAATTTCTTTCATCAGAGAGACAGCACTGTCAAACTCTACTGATGAGAGTATTAGCAACAGGCAAAATAGCCTGGGCAACATAGCAAGATCCCATTTCTACAAAAATAAATAATAAAAAAAATTGGTTGTGCATGGTGTCAGGCACCTGTAGTCTCAGCTACTTGGGAGCTGTAATCCCAACACTTAGGGAGGCTGAGGTGGGAGGATTGCTTGAGTCTGGCACGTCCAGGCTCCAGTGAACCATGATCATGCCACTGCACTCCAGCCTCGGCCAACAGAGAGAAACCTTGTCTCAAAAAAAAAATAAAAATAAAAACAGACAAAACTTTATGTCTTTTGACAAAACTTTATTTCTTGCCGCTGAGCTTAAAAGAAAAAACACTGTAGTACCGAAGGGCATAAAAAGGTGAATATCCTTTGACTAAACAATTCCATGTAGGGATTTATGCTAAGGAAATACTGAACAAGAGAACAAAGATGTACATAAAATGGTATTTGCTGTAGCACTTTATAATAAAAAATGAGTAGTAATCTAGACATCCAGAAATAAGGTCATGCTTACATAAATTATAGTGTGACCTTATCTTATAACTTAGTAGAGACTTACATAAAAAATACTTACATAAATTATAATGTGTAATGCATAAAATATTATACACTCATTTAAGGTCATGCTGTAGGCCTGGCATGGTGGCTCATGCCTGTAATCCCAGTGCTTTGGGATGCCGAGGCAGAAGGATTGCTTGAGCCCAGGAGTTCAAGACCAGCCTGGGCAACATAATGAGACCTCATCTCCACAAACAAACAAATCAAAAAATTAGCCAGGCATGGTGGCATGCACCCATGGTCCCAGCTACTCAGGAGGCTGAGGCAGGAGGATCACTTGAACCCAGGAAGTAGAAGGTGCAGTGAGCCATATCATGCCACTGCACTTCAGCCTGGGCGACACAGCAAGACCCTGTCTCAAAAACAAAAATAAAAACAAACAATAAAGTCGTGCTGTAACAGAAGATTTAACAACATGGAAAAATACTCAAGTGAGGGGAAAGGAATCAAATTTAAAATCAAAGTAAGAGGCCGAAGCGACTGGATCACTTGAGGTCAGGAGTTCGAGACCAGCTTGGGCAACATGATGAAACCCCTGCCTCTACTAAAAATACAAAAATTAGTAGAGTGTGCTGACAGGCACCTGTAGTCCCAACTACTTGGGAGTCTGAGACAGGAGAATTGCTTGAATCCAGGAGGTGGAGGTTGCAGTGAGCCAAGATTGCACCACTGCACTCCAGCCTGAGCAACAGAGCAAGAATCTGTCTCAAAATAGAAAAGAAAATTTGGAGGAGTGGAAATTCAAAGTTGATCTGATATAAAGCATATTCTCTCTTTCCCTGCACAATCCTGCCTTTCTCCTTCGTATTGTGTGGGTTATCTCCTACTTTTAAAAGCAAATTTAAATTTATGTCGTCCTCATAATTTTTTTAACCCAAAGCAAGTTTGTGATACTTGCCACCTCTCATAGAGATATTACAGTTGCCAAAAGGAGCCATGAATGAGGGTGACCTTTTTGGGTTTCAGGTGGAGTCGTGGCGTTAGCCATCGCCAGCTTCGTGGCTGCGGTGAAATTTCACGACCTGACGGAACGCCTGGCCAACTTTCAGGAGCGGCTCTTCCAGTTTGTGGTGGTGGAAGAACAGTACGAGGAGTCATTTTGGATCTGCGTGGCCAGCGCTTCGGCCCACGCCGCAAACTTGGTTGTGGTGGCGATCAGTCAAATTCCCCTCCCTGAGATTAAGACCAAAATGGAAGAGGCCACGGTCACAGCTGAGGATATCTTGTATTAACAGCCTTCCCCTGCTCACAGCTCCGTCTGAAGTCAGTTCTGTGTGTGAATGGAGGCCTCGTGTTTTTGCAGCCTTCCCATGCTGTCATGGCCACGTTCTCAGCAGTAAGAAGGATGTGAAGGACCAAGGCCGTTGCTGGGGCTGGAAAAGGAAAACTTGCCCAGAATCCCCAGCGTCCTTGGATTCCTCTCTCATGACCTTGGAGTTCACGTTGCAGCTAGAGACTGCGACTTGCCAGCTGTGTGTAACATTGGGCAATTCACTTAATGTCTACGCTCAGTTTCTGCATTTGTAAACTAAGCACGGTACCAACTTCGCAAGGCTGTTGTGAGGTTTAAATGGGTGATGACATTGCCAGCTTCTGCACCCTGCAGGGCACTTGACAAATATAAGAGACTACATGCTCCTGTAAGTGTCTTCAGACCCCTGGTCTATTCCACACAATATTGGGCTGGTGAATGGGGAAGAATTCTAAGAGAAATATGATACTACTCCTGTTCCTGCCCTCCAGAAACACCTCATCTTTCCACATGACCCAGGATGTAGCCACAGTTAACACTAAGAATGAAAATAACTGCCATTTACTGAGTGGTGACTATGTGCTAGACACTGTTCTAATTCATTTATTAACTCATTAGGTCCTTACGACAAACTCGGAGAGTAGGTACTATTTTAGCCTCATTTGCAAATGAAGAAACTAAGGCATGGAGAGGTTGGGTAACTTGCTGAGATCAGGAATTTAACCTAGGAAGTCTGGAGCCAGAGTCTATACTTTTCACCTTTGCTAATCTGTTGCTTGATACACAAGCAATTGCAATGCAATGTGATAAATGTCACAACATTATTAGGTTGGTGCAAAAGTAATTGCTGTTTTTGCCATTGAAAATCATGGCAAATAACAGAACAGCCATAAGGGACTGAGGAGGGAATTAAATCTTGGGGATGGGATGTGGTTAAAGAGAGTGTCACAGCATGAACATTTGATCTGGGCTTTGAAAGATGAGTAGAATTTTTCCAGTGGTGAAGGAAGCAAGGTTGGAGAAGGGCATTCCAGGATGCGTCAGTAAGTAGGCTGGGCAAGGGCGTGAAGTTACCAGGAGGGCCAGGCACAGTGGCTCATGCCTGTAATCCCAGCACTTTGGGATGCTGAGGTGGGCGGATCATGAGATCAGGAGTTTGAGACCAGCCTGACCAACATGGTGAAAACCCAGTCTCTACTAAAAATACAAAAATTAGCCGGGCATGTTGGCACGTGCCTGTACTCCCAGCTACTCGGGAGACTGAGGCACCTGGGAGGCAGACGTTGCAGTGAGCCAAAATCTGACCACTGCACTCCAGCCTGGGCGACAGAACGAGACTCCGTCTCAAAAAAAAAAAGAATTACAAGTAGGGCTTAGAGGCATGTGAGTACTCAGGGTGTGGGTTCTCTAATCACCTGTTAGAGAAATCCAGCTGTTTTGTGTTCGGTTTTCGTTAAGTGCCACCAGAATGGTTAATTTTATGTGTCACCTTGCCTGGACCACAGCACCAAGTTATTTGGTCAAACACTTCTAGATGTTTTTTCAAAGTTATTTTTGATGAGATTAACATCTAAATTCGTGGATTTTGATTAAAACAGATTACCATCTATAATAGGATAGTAATTCCCTCATCCAATCAGTTGAAGGCCCTGATAGAAAAAAGGCCTAGCTCCCCTGAGGGACAGGGAAGTCTGCCAGCAGACTGTTTTGGGAGTCAAACTGCAACTGTCACTGGCTCTCCAGCCTGCCCACTTACCCTGAAGGTTCTGGAATTGCTGGCCTCCTGAATCACGTGAGACAATTCCTTAAAATACCCCCTACTTTCTCTCTGTCACCACACACACACACACACACACACACACACACACACACACAGCCTGTTGGCTCTGTTTCTCTGGAGAACCCTGACTAATAGGTACACAACTCTATCAACTCATTTTCCCATGCTGCTAGCTGGGATAAACCTTTTCCCAGGTTTCCTATCTTCATGCCATGCAAAAGTTATCTAATGTGATCCTTTCATAGCTCCTGAGCATGATGATTGGGTTTTCATGCATGTGTGTGAGATGTGCCGCCCTGGAACCTTGTTATGACATTGGCACATTACCTGTCCGACCTGAAAAAAAAAAAAAAAAGAAAAAAAGGAATTTTTTTTTTTTTTTAAGACGGAGCTTTGCTCTAGTTGCCCAGGCTGGAATGCTATGGTGCAATCTTGGCTCACTGCAACCTCAGCCTCCCAGGTTCAAGCAATTCTCCTGCCTCAGCCTCCTAAGTAGCTGGGATTATAGGTGTGCACCATCACACCCAGCTAATTTTGTATTTTTAGTAGAGACGGAGTTTTCACCATGTTGGCCAGGCTGGTCTCGAACTCCTGACCTCAAGTGATCCCCCCGCCTCGGCTTCCCAAAGTGCTGGGATTACAGGTGTGAGTCACCACAGCCAGCCCAGGAAATTTTTTTTTAAGTTATCTAATCCTCCAAATTAGCTCCGTCTAAAATGACACCTGATTTGTTGACTTCAGGAAGTGCTCGTAGCATTTCTCTCTTCTAAATGCTTATAATTCCTGCTGGGCTCACCTGCCCCTTTCAGCCCTCTTTCCACATCCCAGGCTATGGCACTATTTAGTGGACTGATGTCACTCACCAAAGATGCAGATGCCACATGGCTAGAAGAGACAGTTATGTGATAGGAGATGGATCCAAACGACAGTGACAGACGGCCAAGCTGTCTTGAAAACCAGAGGAAATGTCAATATCACATCAAGTTTCAACACAAAGTCTTGCTGATAGGTTTTTTAAAAATCAACATAAATACAGAAAATCTGACGATAGTTTATATCACAAGTGTCTGAGGATCTTGGTACATTTATTCATTCAACAGTATCAATACTGAACTGACAAAAATCCCTGCCCTCCAGACATTTCATTCTCCCAGTAGCTGGGATGATTCATACTGAGTGGGCTTGTGATGGAGCTATGCAAAAAGTTGGCACAGTAGCCAGGCATGGTGGCTCATGCCAGTAATCCCAGCACTTTGGGAGGCCAAGGGGGGAAGACTGCTTGAGTCCAGGAGTTCAAGACCAGCCTGGACGACATAACATAGTAAGACCTTGTCTCTCTATTTAAAAAAGAAAAAAAAAAAGAAAGTCATCAGGGCCATAGCCTTTGAACTGATCACTGCCTTCAGGCATATGCAGACCTTCATGCCAATAAGGGGCAGAGTGAATTCAGTTTTGCTTCTAAAGATTAGGATTGACTTTAAATATGATGGATGTGTTTCAAGAAGTCAAAGTGCAGGCTTTTGTACACATTTGCAGTTTTTCTGTGACAGAGTCCATAGCTTTTAAAGCATTTCGGAAGCATCTACCATGTCTTTAAACCATGATCCATCAGGTGGCAACCATAATGTTACTGGCAATAATCAGGTTTAGTCTGAAAGACCATCTCTCAAGAATACTGTAAATGAGATTCCTGTATGGAATTTAGCAAGGTGAGAGTAGGGATGGAAAAAAGGGAGAGTCAATATCTGGATCACAAAATTCACTTGCATTATTTTTCAAATCTAGCTCCTTTATCTTGACTATAATTAATTTGGTCATTTTATGAGTAAATAAATAGTAGCCGCAGGAAGGGAGCTGGTCATGGGAAAAGACCAAGGCAGGATTAGAGAGTTGGGACTTCCAGTCCCACCCACACCCGTGACTTCTGGGAGGAAAGAGGCGCTGAAGGTTAAGTTGATCACCAATGTCCAGTGGTTTAATCAATCATGCCTACATTATGAAACTGCGGCAGAAACCCAAAGAACTGGGTTTGGAGAGCTTCCAGATGGCTGAACATGGGGAGGTTCCCGGAGGGTGGTGCACCCAGGGAGAGCATGCAAGCTCCGCGCTCCTTCTCCCATACCTTGCTCCATGCATCTCTAATCTGTATCCTTTGTGATATTCTTTGTAATAAACCAGTAAATAGAAGTGTTTCCCTGAGTTCTGTGAGCTGCCCCAGCAAATTAGCCAAACCCAAAGATGGAATTGTGGGTTTGGCTCATTTGAAGCCCATCAGTCAGAAGTTCCAGAAGCCCAGACTTTCAACTAGTATCTGAAGGAGGAGGGACAGCTTTGGAGACAGCCCTCAGCCTGTGGGACCTGATGCTGTCCCCAGGTGGATAGTGTCAGAACCAAATTAGAGCACACCCAGCTGGTGTCTGCTGCAGAACTGATTGCTTATTTGTTGATGGAGGAAAATTCCACACATTTGGTCGCAGAAGTCTTCTGTATTAATTGTCGTTGAGAGTAGTTTGAGAGCTGAGAAAAACAGTTTGAGTTCTTTCTTCTCAGAGGTCACCATCTTGTGTGGACAAGGCACTGTACACTTTCTCCTTAAATCTGACAATTAGTCAAGATAAACATTATTATCTTTCTTTTAGCAGGTTTAGAGAATTTAAGGAACTTGCTCAGCCACATGGCTAATAAGTAATGGAGAAAGACTTCAACCCTGATTTATATGTGTCGAGGCCACCACTTTTCCACTACATCAGGATTATTGCCTCAAATCACTCTTGAGACTTCTTCTCAGGGTTTCTCCAAGTGGGTGTGCAGATAGCACCCTGCCCAGGAGAGGTGCAAGCATAGACAGTGAGGGACTAGCCGATGCACCCTTAGCTTGTCCTGGCCTCTTCCACAAAGGGTGCTTTCTCCTAAAGGGGATGCCTTTTCCTAAGGCTCACAAAGGTGTGCCCTATCCCTTCCAGCTGACTGGTCCATGCAAAGTCAAAATATTAGTCATAACATTATTTTATGACATTGATTTGAGTGTGATGATGATTAATTTTCATATGCCCTTTAAAAATAATTATCATATGCATACGATTGTATGTTTGCTAATGATATGACATTACGAATACTAACTGCAGGGACCAAAGCCAATAAAATTTGGCTGCAATTAAGAAAAGTAATTTGTTATCAGCGAAAAGAAGTTCTACTCTATGTTCACAGTGTTAAAAAAATTAGTAATTGCCAAGCATGGTGGCTCAAGCCTGTAATCTCAGCACTTTAGGAGGCAGAGATAGGTAGATCACCTGAGGTCAGGAGTTCGAGACCAGCCTGGACAACATGGTGAAACCCTGTCTCTACTAAAAGTATAAAAATTAGCTAGGTGTAGTGGTGTGCACCTGTAGTCCCAGCTACTCAAGAGGCTGAGTCAGGAGAATCACTTGAACCTGAGAGGCAGAGGTTGCAGTGAGCTGAGATCGCGCCATTGCACTCTAGCCTGGGTGACGAGAAAAGCTCCATCCCCTCTAAAAAATATATGAGTAAACACATGGTTTTCATTAATGAAAATGTAGCTAATAACATATGCAATTAATCAAGACTTTTGGATAGCAAGGATCCTTCCATGTCAAATCAGAGCAAAGTTATGTTACAAATATACTTCTCTCTCTGTCAAGAAAATGTGAAACTATGAAGAGTAAATTAACTCCTCACACTTCCAAAAGCATATAATAAAAATGCTAACTCCTTCAATTAAAAAAATCCTATTTTCTATATCATAAATAAGGTCACTGCAAAGAGGTTGATGGTTAATGAGAACTAATGCATGCTTTAGCAAAAATGTGCAACACAATCCAAAAAGACAATTGTATTGTTTTCCTAGTGTTCCTGAAACAAATTACCACGAAATTGGTGGCTCAAAACAACACACATTTATTATCTTAAGAATTTTAGAGGCCAGAAAACCAAAATGGGTCTTACTGGGTACTATGGTTTTGATGTGTCATTCAAAGTTTATATGTTAGACACGGTCTCTAATACAAAAGTGCTTAGAGACGAGATCTTTAAAAGGTAATTAGGCCATGAGGGCTCTGCCATGGTGAATGGATTAATTCACACTCTCTCACCATATAATGCCTTCTACGGTGTTATGATGCAGCAAGAAGGCCCTCGTCAGATGCCAGCGTCTTGATACTGGATTCCCCTGCCTTCAGATCTGTGAAAAATAATTTTTTTCTTCTTACAAATTACTCAGTTTGTGGTATTCAACACAAAATGAACTAAGACACTGGGGTAAGTCAAGGTGTTGGCAGAAGTCAGGCCCAATGACTCATGCCTGAAATTCCAGCACTTTGGGAAGCCAAGGTAAGAGGATTGATGGAGGCAAGCCTGAGCAACATGGAGGTGATCCCCAACGCTACTAAAAATTAAAAAATTAGCCAGTCATAGTGGCATGCACCTATGATCCTAGTTGCTCATGAGGCTAAGGCAGAAGGATCGCTTGAGCTCAGGAGTTCAGTGTTACAGTGAGTTATGATCGTGCCACTCCACTCCAGCCTGGGTAACAGAATGAGATCCCATCTCAAAAAAAAAAAAAAAAAAAGAAAGAAAGAAAGAAAAGAAAAGGTGTTGGCAGGGTTGTGTTCCTTCTGGAAGCCCTATGGCAAAGTTTGTTTCTTTGCCTTTTTTAGCTTCTAGAGGCCACCTGTATTTGCTGAGTCTTGGTCTCTTCCAGCAATTATATGTTTCTAGCCTCTGCATCCATCATACAAGTGACGATGGCTCTGCTCCTCCTGCTTCTCTCCTAAAAGAACCCTTGTGATTACACTTGATCCACCCAGATACTCCAGGACACACTTTTGGGGAACAGATTTCCACCTACCATAACAATGTTACTCAATGCCAGTATTTCTTGTTCTAACAATATTCCTGAAAAGAACATAATGTTTAGATATAAAACTCATGAACAAAAAAAGTCTTATTCATTAATTATTACTAGTAGATTAGCATCACAATTTAGAAAATACTTTCTGGGAATGGGGTGCTAACCTACTTCAAATACTTAAATATTAAGCCAGTTTCATCACTGGAAGTCATAGAGGGAAGGAGGCCACGCAGGGCACAGGGAATCTCAAAGGTGAAATGTGAAAAGTGATTTTGGGATGTGATACTGGAGAGGGACACAGCAACTCAGAGAAGTCCCTGAGCCCATTTTATTTATTTATTTACTTACTTACTTACTTATTTATTTTGAGACGGAATCTCACTCCATCACCCAAGCTGTAGTGCAGTGGCACAATCTTGGCTCACTGCAACCTCCCTCTCCCAGGTTCAAGCAATTCTCCTGCCTCAGCC